TTTAAAAAACTTTTTCACAGAAAAATTCATAGAAGAAATTTTGTACTTCTCAAGAACTGACCAAAATATTGATCATTTTATCAAAATATTTACAATTTAATACAACTTTTTCATAGAAAAATTCATAGAAGAAATTTTGTACTTCTCAAGAACTGACCATAATATTTATCACATTTATCAAAATATTTTTAATTTCGAAAAAAACTAGGCACGTGAGTCCATAAGACTCATCTTCACCACATAACTATCAAAACTGCGCTGATTCTCAGGACGACTTGTTATCTTCCAAGATCGACAAACATCCAAAGTCCCCCTCAAAAAGAACACGAAACTCGCAACAAGTACTCGCTACACCTCCTCCATATCCCCAAACCTAAATCCTCCAGCAATTATACTTTAACAACTCTCATACAACCCGAATCGCCCCAAAGAATTTCCCGCTTATTGCTCGCACGATTGTGTATCTCTCTCTCTCTCTCTAGAAAAGTAAACCTAACCTTTGAGTAAAAAATCTAGATAGCCTACTTCGCGAACGGTGCCTCGTTAAATAAACTCTAACGAATCGGATAAATTACAGCGTGAACGATGAATAACCTGCTCGGCCGGTTAAATTCTGGCGAGATTAACATCAGATTGAGTTGGCGTCAAAATGAAAACCGCCGCCGTCGCCGCGTTACCGGCAAAAGGGGGCGAAGGAAACGGACAGAGGGGCGAGAAAAAAGGAGTGAAACGCGGCGAGCACGCGGAGGGGCCGACAGTTGTGTATATTTAAGCATAGCGACTTTCGTGGAATGCGCGACCTGGTTTTATGACGGTGGTGTGCAAGGCTGCATAGAAAACGCGGCCGTTTTATAATGTATACTTCAATTTCCGTGTCCGGACGGCCGAGTCTCGGCGTTTGCTCATTAGATTACGCGGCTGAATTGCACAAACGAGGAATTCAGAGGGTGAAAGTTCCGCCTTACCCGGTTTTTCCGAGGGGGCGGATAGACGCATCGTGTCTGCCTGGAGATTTTCAAGTTCCCCGGCGATCCGACGAGTTCTCCCTGTGAACCATGGAAACGAGGCGTAACGAACGTTCTTTGGACGTTCTTCGCTGAAATAAAATTTCATCTCAACGGCCCACCGGGTGCTTCCTATTTGCTGCCAGTTGGGGCTGCCGGAAGGAGCTCTGCATTTTTAGAGATTAAAAGATCGCTTTTCCCACACTCCTCTGCCTCCTTCTTTTTCTTCTCCTTCTTCGCCATCCTTATTTCACCCTTTTGCTTTCTTTTGTCGCCAGAGGAATATTGAGAAACTCCGGGAATCTAGATCGTGTTTGGAGGAATGTTCTCCCGTTGTCTCGACGGATGGGAATATTAGATAACCGTTCTTTTTCTATCGACGATAAACTCGAACGAAATTTTTGCTACTAGGTCGTCGCGTAAGTTTCATATTTCGCTATTACGACGACGTAATAATTTTACCAAAAAAAAAAAAAAAAAAAAAAAAAAAAAAAAATATGCTTACGTTTCTTGTTTTTATCAAATTTAAAGGTTCGTTGGTGTTGGATTTAGGTAATAAATTAGAAGACGGCATTTCAATTGTAAACTCTTCTTTACGCGATCGTAAGAGATGAACAAGACGCTGAAGAGAAAAGAAGCATATCAGCGTCCAGCCATACTAAACAGATGGTTACTATGTTATTTTTTTATATATATGTTTATGTTAATCTGACTCGGCATTTCTTGTAATAATCCAACAGTTTGAAATATTGATCTGAATTATAAAATTCGACACGAACATATGGGATGATCTAATAGGTGTTTGCAAATATAATGCACGTGGTTTTGTCTGTTTAGTTGGTCATTGGAGTTCATTCTAAAATCGTAGAAATTCAACTGGCACTTGTTAACGGGAAGAATGTGTGTACTTCTTTTGCAGCACAGCCTCACGTTGCTTCTCTGACTCGTCAAAAAATGAAGAAGTTTCACAAGTTTTGTCTACGTCAAACTTTCTTTGCAAAGAAACACTTTGAAAACGATGTCGAGTTCGAAACAGCAGTTAATTCACTTTTTTCAAGTAAAACTCAGTGTTTTTATACAGTTAGAAAGAGAAATTTAACGCTGCTATGAGCTGGAAACACTTAAAGCTGGTGATATTCGCAATTTTTCACTAATTTCGGTCTATAACCACGACGAGCGACACAGCTTTTCCAAAGACTCGCCCGAGAGTCTCGTAACACATCACATCAGACTCGATCGAGAGTCACCACTTACAAGTTTCAATACGGTCATCCGTATTAATCTCCCGGTGACCAGCGCCTCGACCAACGACCCTGCGAAATTCACTAAAGAATTGCGGAGCAAAGGACGCAAAAGTGCTCTCAGATAAAAAAAAGTCGCAATTTTTTGCAGTAAACTAATCCTTCCAACTTCTTAAAAAAAAATCAAGTCGTTTGGTCTAATTTCAAAGAAGTTTTAACCAAGTAAGCTCGTAGAGCGTTGAAAGTGAGTTACAGAAGCAAGCAGCGATTGTTTCAAGAAAGTTCAGATTACTTGAACTTCATTAATAGTAAACCTTATTTTGTGGCACGAATGTTTCACACAGCTCCGTCCTGTTCTACATTTTTCACCGATGCGTGAATGCACATTGATGGTGGAAAGAAACGGAAGAAGTACGCCTGAAATTCCCCTGCGATATTCAGCTGCAATTTCGCAGGAAACATTAGAGTTTCTAAGGAGACGCATCTATTATTTAGCGTCTCTTACCACACGAGATCAATTTACATTCGTCATAATTACTTTTTCTCCCGTCACAATGGAGCGAAATTCTGCCGTTAAAATTCTGATAAAAGCTACCTCATTAAATTTCGTATCGTGCTTCCGTAAACGTTTTTCGATGTTCTGTATCAGTCATCTCGGCGTATGATATCAATATTTCTCGTTCAACGTTCTGACAAGTACACGAAGTAAGTCGTTCATATTTTGAAAAGGAGATACGAACGAGCGTAACTTATTCAAATTTTCTGGAT